CCCCCCCCCCCCACCCTTTTTTTGATATTCTTTTTTATTTTTTTCCTGTGACGTTTTCCACATTGGCTTTGTCTCAGTAGCCCACAGTGGGAGTGACGCCGCCAAGTTTCCCCACAGCATTAAGGACAGCCACTGATCCGGCAACACGGACCGCATCGCCAGCCCAAGCTTGCCTGTGACTGCTATGAGAGCAGCCCGTGAGCATCCTCACCCCGCAGCCCCTTCTCCCTTCCATGTGGCCGGAGTCGGGGTCCGAAACGCGCTGCGGCGTTTGGGTGGGAGCTGGCCACCCGCTGCCCCCGCACCCTCGCCCCGTGCGCGCGGAGGTGCAGTGACCATTGCAGGGTGCAGACCGCGCCTGACAGGGCGTCTCAGGAGCTGCGTCTCCCGCTGAACAAGCCTCCGAGCTGTCTCCAGCTGTGATTTGCTGGCAGACGTCTGTGTTGCTAACAGGCTTTCACAGCTGGATCCCTGGGCGAGGGTTTTTAGGCCCGTGGCTTGCAGAGGTTAAATTTTTGTGATAAAGAGGGTTGTTCTGGTGACTTTTGCAAGTCCTGGCAACAGAAGCGTCAGGGGAGAGGCAGTGGCCGCGCAAGCAAAATGTTGCCAATGTTAAGAGGGGTGCAGGTAATCTGAGGTAGAAGTATATAAAAAAGAAGCAGGCCTGATGATAAAGTATACTAGCATTTGTCTTCAAATATCCGCGCTCGTTTTAAGGAGCGCACAGAATTAATATTCTCCGTCTCCTCCGTTTATTTAAGACACGATTGGTGAGGTTTGCTTCAGACATGGGCAAATCCAGGGTGACCAGTTTTTGTTTTTCTTACTGAACGTTTATTTCCGAGTGCTTTGCTCTGACTGTACCTTAGAGCGCTTCCTGAAACCTGCTCTGTGGTTTTGTGGCTTGTTGTGCTCCTTACTGGCACGCAGGCAGGCGCACAGAGCTGCCTCTTCCAGCGTTGCCCTGTCAGCCCCCTGCCGGGCCAGAGGATCCGTGCAGCCCTATCGTTAACCAAAGGCAGCCAGAAGGCGCTACCACTTGGCGTTAGTTTTTGTGGTTTTCCCAAGTTGTGTTCCTCGGTGGAACGTAAGCAGAAACCTTCCTCCTGTCCACGCTAAAGTAGAAGATTTTAGGGTCTGAAGTGACACAAGAGCCCTAGACCAAAAGTCCACTTTTAGACCTGACTTGCGTTGCCCTCAGAGGCTGCGGCGCAGAGTCGAGTTATATCCTATCCAAAACGGTCCATCCAGGTCTTGTCCCAGCTTCTTGCAAAGGGTTAAACATCCCAGGAGGCAGCAAGCAGGAGAATTGTGCGTTCCCTCTGAGCATGCCGCAGTCGCAGCGGCAGAGCTGTTACCAGCCCTGTGTCTGGTGAGGTGGTGTTGTAGTACACGATCAGCCAGCCAGTAGTCAGCCCGTTTGGGCGAATCGCCTGCGTGGGTGATTTATTCCAAATCAGAGAGGCTGGTGCCCTGGGGCTAGCGCTAAGCAAAAACCGTTTTATTCTAGAGTCAATGTTGTCCAGCTCCTGGCACGCTGCCAGCCCATCCTGCGCTGGCTCTTTTCTTTCCAGCGGGGAATGTGTTTCAGCCTCTCAGCATCTGATTTAAAAAAAAGCAACTTCACTTTTCAAGTCGTTTTGTTTTGTTTG